GGACACACTGACAAAGGAGATTAATCAGAACTGGCTTTGACAAGCACTATGGCAACTGGGTAATTAAAACAGACATGGGGGGGGGGAAGGTGAACGAACTGGGGAGGAGGGTAGAGAAAACAGTGCCACAATGAATGAATGAGAACCCAAAATCTCTGTAAATGTTCATTAAAACTAATAAAATTTAATAATAATTAAAAAATGCATGAGCTATAAAAAAGAATGGTAAAACTTTGTCTTATATACTTTGGGTATGTCGTCAAGAAAGGCTAGTCCTTGAAAAAAGACATCAGACTGTGACAAGTGGAGGATCAGAAAGATAGGAAGATGTTCAGCAAGGTGGATTGACACAGTGACTGTAACAATGGGCTCCAGCATATCAGAGATGATGAGGGTGGGACAGAATGAGGCAAGGTTCTGATCACAGGGTCATTTGATGAGTTGAAGTTGGCTTGATGGCACCTATTATCTACAACTTAATTCTTATCTATCTTAGTTTTTTTATTGGGCACTGTATTTCTCAACACCAGAATCTCATACAACATCTGACACTTAAAAGACATCAATAGCCATGTAATGAATGATGTTCATACAACATAGGTGTAGCTAACATCCATCTTTCTAATTTTGGTAAATATATTGGTGAACGTGGGGAGGAATCTACATAAAAATAGTTAAGATAAAATCTTTTTGCTTCTAGGGATGGTTTTATTTATCCTTTTGTTTGAGAGATAGTTGCAAAGTTGTATTCAATTGTATTTCTTCAAATGGAAAGTGACTAAAAATGAAGAAGTGTTAGTTCAAGTTCAAGGTCTGTCTCGCTTTTTTTTTAAATCTTACCCAAAAGGAAGTGAATATGAGGTGAATCACATTAACATAAAGCACCACAGAGATAAAGCCGGAAGAAGAACACTATCAATATATGAGGTAGAAGCACATTTGTGTCATGTGAAAAGAAATGACAAAAACCGCTCTCCTTAAACTATGTGTAGCTATACTTATCACAATCATTTTAATCTTGCCAGAATATTTCAAGACACCAAAAGGTGAGTATGTAATATGCATTTCCTTTTTTTTAATTATAAGAAATGTCTGCTAATGGTTCTCATGAAAGTCTTCTATGTCTTAAAAGTTAAAATGAGACTGCAGTTTTAATTGACTATAACATGGCTCAGCAATTTAATTCATATTACTGAATTATGGAACTGTACTTAAAAATGAACAGAAACATGTGGAGTAGATTTGGAACCTTGACATGACAATAATCTCCTTACATGATTTGATACTTTGAAAGTTACCTAAAGCAGTTGCAAAAGTGGGTTTTTTCCTTCTGTGAAATGACTTAGTTACACTAAGGAGTACTTGAATTCTCCCATCGCCACTCTTTTACACAAACGATTTACCTTGGAAAAGTAAGGGATGTTAGACATCTTTAAAATACAACTAAAATAAGGTGAATGTAACTTTAAGTAGATGTGTTTGTCTCTGTGCTTGTGACTTAAGAAAAATGAGTACCTGAACTCTGAATATTTCCAGAGAACTATGACGGGATTATTGAGATTTAAATTAAGAAAATAAGTGGATATAAATGTAAACTATATTTACACATTGATAAAATATTTGATAATGTATTAATATGATCGATTCCATAGCAATAGTACTCCCTAACACTTAATAGCAAGCAAAAGTAAAACAACAACAACCAAACCCCCCCCAACTTAGAACTTGAGCATTAAAAAAATTATTGCACCAATTTGATTAAAATCCAGAGAGAAAATGTTTTTGATGACTTGCTACAATGATTATTTAATGTTGCAGATACATGATGCTAAGCAGAGAGATTAAAATATTTTTACTAGTTGCATATGAAGGCATATTGCAATGATTATTTAATGTTGCATTTACATGATGCTAAGTAGCAAGATTTAAAATATCCAACATTCTAAACTAAAACCTATTGTTGTCCAGCTGATTTGACTCAGTGATCCTCCCTCATAAGATTTCCAAGACTGTAAAAAAAAAAATCTAGATCTAGAGACTTTTCATCTTTCTCCCATGGAGTTACCACAGTGGAATCAAACTGCTGCCCTTTTAGTTAGCCGAACAACACATTAAGCACTATGCTGCCAGAGCTTCATGAGTAAACCCGATGACTCTATGCAATTGTAAATGATTGTATTTTCCAAATTCCTTCTGATTTGCTAGCATTATATTGTTTAGATTAGGCAGCTCTGGAATATATTCTCAACGCTTGACTTCACTGAGTGTAAATGATTCGAGCTAGACCTATCTTAACGTTGAGCCTATTGTGTATAAGATAAATAGGCTGACATAAGCTCATAGAATCACTACCTAAAGTAGGTTACATGGTTATACCTAGCGTTGCCAACAACAGCAAAACGTCTCCAGAAATTCAGCTTTGTTCTAATGAAAAGTAGGTCATAAGCTGTAAAAAAGATTTCACAAATGGTTTGCTGAGCTGTGTTCTCAGAATTGGTGACTGTAAGAGCATGCTAAAATTTTTCCTCTTAGGGGCTAAGAGTTTCTCAAAGTTTTAAGGGCGGTCTTTGGGGAAATTATGATCAGAAGAATATGAAAGAAATTTATAAGGCAACACAGTTGGAAGCTCTTGAGCCCCTTCTTATTCATGAGCAGGAGTAAGGGCACGTACAGAGTCCTCTTAGGCAAACTTTATTGACCTAAAATAAGTGTCAGTCCTTCTTAATCTTGTCAACAATCAACCACCATAACGATTTTGTTTTCTTAGTTTCACAACTGATTACATCAGCTGCCAGCACTCTCTTTCCTTCCTCCCCCAAACTGAAAATAGCTGTTTTTCTTTTCCTGTTCTAAGAACAGAACACACATTTCCTCAAACTCTTCTTGGATTTATTTGGGGATTTTCTTTCAGAGAAATCCTAGTTGGGCTAACAAAAATGTTTGGAAAACCCCTGCCTTGCGTTGTCGTTATGTGCCATCGAGTCGAGTAGGACTCATAGTGACCCTATGCATAATAGCGCTGAACTCTGCTCTATCTTGAGCCAATCTCACTGTCCCTGACACAGTTGCCCCTACTGTCCCAGTTACTGTGTCAATCCATCTCATCTGGGATTTCCTTTCCTTTCTTGTGTTTTCCCTCCACCCTTCCAAGCATAATGTCCTTCTCCAAATACTAGTCCCTCTGGCTATATGACCAAAATATGTGACACAAAGTCTCAAAATTCTTGCCTTCAAGGAATAGCTTGGTTTCATTCTCTCTAGGACAGTATTAGTTCTGTTCACAGTCCATAGTATGTTCAATACTTTTCTCCAGCACCACAATTCAAAGGCATCAATTCTTCTGTCATCCTTGGTCGTTGCCCAGCTCTCTGATGCATAGCAAGTAATCGCAAAGACCATGCCCTCTATCTGATGTTATTTAGTAGTAGAAGGAATCATGCACAAGAACTACTCTAAAAATGGAAAGCTGATTATTACACAAAAATGTATGGCATGGCATCATCACCATCATCATGATCATTTACAATTTTATAATGGTTTATGGCTCAACAGGAGCATGTTTTTATAGCTTTACATATTAGCAGGAGTGACCTTGGGAAAAATAAACATCACTCTTGGGAAAATTGAAGGTCATTGAAAGAGTAGAAGACCCTCATTGTGATGGATTAACACAGTGACTACAGTAATGGGCAGAGACTGTGGAATGGCTCTGGACAGGGCAGATCTGCTCCACATAGAGTCACTATGAGTAGGAATCTACTTGATTGCAACAGCTACAATAATATTGACTGAACTACGTATAATGACCATATTTGTGTGGGTTTTTTGTTGTTGTTGTTGTCAAGTTGGAATTTATTCATAGCTGACATTCCAGTGAGTTTCTAAGTCCATAAATGAGGAGATTGCAGGTCCTTCGTTGGAAGGGAACCATCAGAGAAGTGTAGCCTTTGGGTCAGCAGCACAGCTCACTCTAGTTTTGAATAATAAATATATTAATGTTATTGTTAGGTTTGTTAGGTACTCTTAAGTTGCATATGACCCATAGAGACCCTGTGAACAACGGATGTGAACCCTGTCCTAGCCTGTGCCATCCTCATCATCTCTGACACGATTGAGCCCGTTGCTGCAGTCACTGTGTCACTCCATCTTGTAGGGTGGGTCTATGAAATGCCTTAACTTGTTGACCCATGTCTTTCAAAATACTTGGAGAAGCTAGATGATAAGATGTTCTTATTGTTTTATTGTTAGGTGCCAACAGGTCAACCACAACTCACAATAACCATATGAACCACAGATCTGAATCTTCCCCTGAGCTATGTCATCCTCACAATCTCTTTCATGCTCCAGTCAACTGTCAGAGTCACTTTGTCAATCATGATGGGAGTGTTCTAACCCAAACCAGACCAAACTCATTGCTATTTTATTGAGTCCAATCCACAGTGATACTCCCTTGGGTTTCCAACATCTTTATGGAATCTTTCCAAATCTGACTGCCTCCCTTCCCTAGAGTAGCTCTTGGATTTGAACGGCTGACCTTTCAGTTTGCAGTGCACTATGTAATGGACCATACCACCAGAACTCCTTAAAAGGTCTCTAGAAATGCTGTCGTTAAACTGGAGACTCCCTTACCTAGTCTTCCCTTTTCTTGTGCCTTTTTAAACAGATTTTTTTCTCTTTTTTTCTAGTCACTCTTATTTCTACGATAAATACTCCAAAATAATTTTTACTTATAAATTATTCAATGATACCCTGTCTTTAACATGCCAAGTGAATTAAAGAGAATCTTAATGAGGAATAATGTATTCACGAGGGTTAATAGATTTTATTTCAAAATAATAAACTCTCTGAAGACCTAGGTTAAAAATAGAGCAATGTTTGATCATTTTTTTTTTCATCATGAATACATCTGAGTCTCTGAATAATCATTAGGAGAAATATTAAAATGTCACAATTACACAGAGTAAGCTATGAGACTTGCTTTAGCAAAGAAGAGGGATTTTAATGAATTCTTCAAAATATTTGACTTTTAATGAGCCATTCTATTGGGTAGACACTAAGCAAAGTGCCCTCTTCTGCACAAGTGTTTCAAATACCCTTTCAGTTTATTTGAAGGACAACTTATACTAAGATATAGTTGTTAATATAATCATCTGATATTCTTACATTGCAGATAGATAATGATGATATAAAGGGGAGTGAATATATTCAGAATTTGAACTTCCTATAAAGTAAGGGAGTTGGGTTACTACCAAATAAGGAATTTGCCAAGGTTTAGTGCTTTTGTTGGACTTTAAGAGCAGTGTGATTTGTTCATTAATTATTGAGTCCTTTACCTCATGGATAGTAAGTTTTGTGTCAAAGAAATATCTATTGTTAGGTGCTGTCTGGTCGAGTGTGACTCATTGCAATCCTATGAACAACAGATATGAACCCTGGCCTAACCTGTGCCATCCTCACTGTCTCTGACACACTAGAGCCCATTGCTGCTGTCATGGAGTCAATCCATCTGGCTGAAGGTCTTTCTCTCTTTCCTTGACCCTCCACCTTTCCATGCCTAATGTCCTTCTCAAAAGAATAACCTCTCCTAGCAACATGTTCAAAGTGTGTGAAATGAAGCTTCATAATCTTTGTCTCCAAGGAGCACTCTGGCTGTGCCTTCTCCAAGATAAATGTTTGTTCTTTTGAACAAAACCCTAGGGATACGAAAATGAAAAGGCAATTTCTTCTTTAAGGAGTTAACCATCAAAGAGGGAGGGTCAATGGACTAAAAAATTAAACAGAATATGGTGGTTGTTATTATGAAAATAAATCACCAGTTGCTTTTAAGTCAGCTCTGACTCATGAAAACTGAACGTGACTCAGAAGACAACAGTGGTCCACAGTGTGGACAGTTTTCTAGAAGCTGATCATCAGGCCTTCTTCCAAGGTGCCTCTGGGTAGAGTTATCTCCTGCCTTTTGATTAGCAGTGAGGGATTAATCATTCAGGAACTTTTGCTATTAAAAGGAACTTTTATTATTAAAATAACTTTGCAGTGAGAATGTGAA